TAATTGTCCATGTAGGTAAAGTATCGCAGTATGCTCGATTTCAAGGTCAATATTGCACGTTCTCTCTTGCTCGCTTTTGTCTCATTCTGTGACGCAGAGTAAATTATTTTGTGCTTTTCATCATAGCTTGTACCCACTTTGGCTCTAAACTCCTGACCTGAAGATAATGAATGTTTCATTTACGTAATGATAATAGCAATACCTATATTTTGACAAAAGAATACAGATGTTTGAATTTTATCACTTTTTTTATTGAAAGCAAAAGAGAAGAAAACATTAAAAGAAAAGGTAAAATTAAACATACCTTTATCTGCAACTCAACGTTTCGGTATCCTTCCTTCTTTGAATATATCAACGAAAGCTGTCTTCACCTCTTGGCCAGTTTTCTGTTTGAGATGTCTTAGCCAGACGAACTTGCTGAATGTATCAATGACTAAAAGAATATATCGGGTTTCATTATTCTATTTTTGATATTTTACCAGGCCAATTAAATCTGCCATCCAAAGATCACCGATTCCAGTGCTAATAACATGATTTCTGTGAAAGCGTCTTCTCACTAGCTTATGCCAACTATATTCTTCTCGATTGTGTAAGAATTTTCGGATTCTGCGCATCTCGAAATCATATTGTCCTTCGCTTTACACCACTTTATATAGTTTGTGTGTGCCTTTGACACTTGCAAGATGCGACGGATAAAAGTATATTTTCTTTCAATATTCCTCCCAATGTATCATGTTGACTGTGTAATGTCCAAACGATATATAAATGAGATTTCAAATGGCTCATGGTTTTATTCTGATTCATTGCCACTTCATTGTCACTTTTATATATTTCCTAAAAGTTATTTTTATGTTTCTTCAAAACATGTTTCACTGCCATCGGCAAGCTATATCCTTTGTTGTGCAGATTATCCGATTTCTCCCACAATAAATATATGATATTTGTCAGCAGCCAATTTAATTCCAGTTATGACTTTAAAAAGTATTTTATTTTGAAAAACTGTGTACGTTCTTTTACTTATTCTGCTGCATCGTCTTCATTTCCTCCACCATCTATATATTCCTCATAGTATTTGTTAAATCTGCCTTGTTTTCGTTTGAGCAACGCCCCAAAAGCGCAAAAAGTCTTCATTTTCCTCAATAGTTTTCCCCCGCTCTCCGAGGCATTCATTTTCTCTTCTTTGTTGGATGTTTGCCTCTAATTTTAGGGATCAATCCACGCTTCACATGACACTAGACGTCATTGGGGGAATCAAACATTAGTCCATAATCGCCAAAAGTGTTATCTTTTTCTGACTTTTCTTTTATATTTCGTTGATGTGATCCGTTTAAATTCAAACTGACAAACGATTTAAAACTGAACGATGCCTGCTTTTTATACAGTTTTCAATCGGTTCTGCCATCTGATTGTTTAGTTCTTTTTAATTATCTCTGTACGCAGATTTTTCATCAATCCACATTGAATCATATTTAAGTATGGCATGTTTCGGTATAAATGATTTAAAATCCACCCATATCTAGCCGTAAAGTCGTCTATTTGCTTTGTAGAATTTAGAATGCAGATTTACCAGGGAACATTTCTCCTGCTAATGTAACCATAGTTTCTTTGTCCGCCGGATTATTGAACATAAACAAGTCGTGACAGTTTTTACTCTGTGTCGGATCTTTAATAGCGTATAGGTTTTGTTATTTGAAAATCACCGAAAACGATCTATGATGAGACCTTCTTTGAACAAGTCGGTTATTATTTATTCTTTCCAGATTCTGACATAACATCGTTCAGAATAAGCAAATTATTGATTTTTGAGTCAAAGAAGTCGTCGTTATCAAGTTATGTAGAAATCTCTTAAAATTCCACTTTCAGATTAACGGTTCTCTTAATAAAAGTGTATAAAGGCTGCCATCGTTTATACACCCATACTATTCTCAGTATGATTCCGCAGAAAGTCTGTAACAAAGGTCGTCTTTCCACAGGCTGAAATAAGAAATACATTTTATCAGTGAAAAGACAATCACGAAATCAGTGCAAACAGTGAAATAGAATTGAAAAAAATAGGTAGGACATAATGTGTCCAATGGATTGTGTTACGTCAAATGTCACGATTGCATTGTGAAGTCATTTTATAAAAAAGTTAAACATTCATACCTGTAGGACTCGATATCATTATAATATAGTTAATGGATGTAGTAAAATCATAGGTGCATTAGTGTCTTCGGTAACATCCCGATTGCAGTTGCAGAGACGGCGGCGGCAATGTTGGCGGCGCTCCAAATGTCCCTGATCCCCCATAGCTCTCTTCTGATACATTTTTCAAGTGCTATTTTTTTAATTCTCATCAAATTGTAAAGAATGTTAAATGTGTGACAACAATCTGTACATTGTGTATGATCCATCTTTATCCGCCAAACTCATAATGAATGAAAGAAAACTCATGTCTTGATCTTAAAGAATTTTACAAAAATATCTGACCAATTAAGTTCTATGGCACCATTTGTACACAAACCAACCAGTAAAATAGCTTTTATTCTTTTAGTTTGATTATAATCTATTGGTGGTGTACAGATATGCTGCACATTTTTTCAGGACATGTAGCGAGAGGTTATAGAGTCTCCTATCTTGGATTGCAAAGAGAGGAAAAGATTATCGTATTTCGCACACAACTTCAACTAACTACCTTAACATGCATTCGTATTTAAGAAGGAGTTTGATGTGTCTCGTCTGGTTTTTCTGTGTGCCTCATTCTTATTCATTAATTAAACGAATGAATTTGGATTTCAGTCACGCTCGTGTTAAACAGTCGGATGTCATAAATTGCGTTTCACGCTCACTCACGCCGATAAGGAATACATACAATAGAAAATCGTTTGTTTGATTTTTCACGTTCGCGCTTCACGTTCACGCTACACGTTCCCGCATAGCTGAAATACCGGCCTTAAACTCTACTTCGCAACGTGTTTTATATGAAGTTAAAAAGGTATGAAATAATATCTCCTGGGATACGCGTGCCGTAATCTATAAAAACTGATGTTTTACCATTATGTTTTGCAGTATAGTAATATAGTAATTCTACTAGCAGACGTATTGTTTGCTTTGCAAGTGGGGATATTCTTTCTACGCTATTAGAAATACTTTATAATACTATTATATTTAAAACCAGCAGTCGATAGTAATTTATCGTAAGTTTAGAATGGGTTTAAAATTATGTTATATGAAACCTAATTTGTAAGCCCTAAAGAGGAGTTATATGAATGATTTAAGTATTCAATTACATTGTAATATCTGTTCGTAATTGTATTTGCTTATCTTCATTTTCACCGATTTTACACAAAAATTACACTACATATATTTACTATGAGTATTTATCAATTTTATATTTATATTTTATAGACAGTAAAGATGGGGTATCAATGTGAGCAATATGTGGATAGTTTTCCAAAACCAGTTAATGTAGCACATGAGAAAAAATACAAATAATCACTGGCGCAAATTTAGTGTCCTAGATGTAAAAAGACTTTTACAAGAGAGTACAATTTGGACAGACATATTTTTAAAAAGAACATCAGAAAATGAATGCACACCATTGTCTAGAATGCCTTAAAGAGTTAACTAGAAACGATGCTTTGGATAAACATTTTGCACAGCTTCATGACAACATCATAAACCAGAGAGGAGGGGCAAATAGAAAACATTGGGATGTTGAGAAACGGGTTACAAAAAAACTAAAGAAACGACGATGATCCTATCAGTATTATGACATGACTAAAGTCAGTGAAAAACGATTGAAACATATAAGACCAGAGGCTCTTCATATATAGTAATTTCAGAAACATCGAAATCACAGAGGATGTTATACGTACTTTTGCACGCTTCTTAAAGTCAGTCTTCGTAGACTGAGACATAGGAGCAAAGTTAAATGACTTAGTGAGACTTATTATTGAGTATCCTTCACTACAATGGATTTAACAAACAATATGGAATAAACACCGATAAAGATACAAACACAAGGGAAGTATACATTAAGGAGAAAGTTGTAGCGTAAACACTGGAACATTTTAAAAAGATTAATAGCAAGCACTGGTTGTTTTTATATGAAGGCGGGCTGGTTAATATTTATAAGATAAAAATGCATGTTTAATGAATAGAACATTGTCAAATACTTCATATGACCATGGAATTTTGATCAAATTGGAATGAAGTCTGGTGAAGCCTACATGTAAAATGCACAGTGATCACAAAGTCACCAGCATACTATTCTGGCATTACACAAAGATTAAGCAGGTAAATTAACTGTAAAAGAACATGAGATATGATTGCCTATGTAAAAACTGCACACTATAAAATAAATAACTCTCAAAGTCAGTCAAGACATTCACAGTTCATGTTTGTATTTCGGTACTGGTTACACTATGATCGTGACCAAACAGTTATAAAGACTTACCATATTACATGAGTTTTCATTTTGTATTATTCTATGACTAGGCTGTATTTGCATATACATGTAATGTACCTCAGCTGATTTTCTGAATATCTCTTATTGTACTGGAGAGTAATTGACCATTTTGTTTTTTTATAAAATGGAAAGTAACACATTGCATTGTGGGATTTTTTTTTGTAATTAGTGAACTAGACGTTAAGCACTTTAACGTCTCGTTAAGTAACAAAAATTTTAGCATAGCTTTGAAAAACTCATTTTTGGCATTTCGTTAGCTAAAGAAAATGTTTAAAGTTAACAACCTATAAGTTAATTTGTCACTTCAGTAAACAATGGCCCATAATGTTCACGCCAACATACGTCATATTTTCAGACATAAACGTCTTACTTTACAGAATGAATTAGTAAGCTTAACAAATATATAACCTTAGGTATGAAAACCCTAGTCCTAGAAATAAGTATAATTTTCATTTAGATTTTAAAATCCAACTAAAGAAATAATGACATTTATATAGATTATCGTATATTTTTAGAATAATTTACTGTATTAGACAAAGATTATCCTTACATGAAATCACCAATCCATGTTACAATCCATTCTTTTTCCCATTTGATCGAGTGAAAGTTTGTTTTAACCAAATCAAAAACCCCGCACATGAATATCACTTTTCCTGTTTTATGTATATAATACAAGAAAATTAACAAATTACACCAGAGTTATGACAAATATACTATCCCAAACAGAAATGTGTGTCCTCTGTTTGTCCTCCCGATGATATTATGCAGTATACTTCCGGATTGCTTAATAGATGGAAAGGTTCATTGTATTGTGAAAACACTGCTTACTCATCCGTATTAACAAAATAAAACCAGTTGTAAAAGGAGATAGCGTTTAAAACATGGCGAGAGACTTACCTTATAGAAATTTATATACAAAGTCGATATTCTATTTTTTTAAAAAGAAGTTTTGTCGGTAGTTTTTATTAAATCGATTATTGTGTGTATGTACACACCGTACAATCAAATGGGCAGACAGCTGTTCCAGCGTCCACAGCTGTACCAGTATATACATGTCGGCGCGGGGAATACAATTGACGTACGGTAAGTATTCATCTATTTTAAACATATCCGAACTGTTTTCGAGTAAATCAATGTTATGGATTCATAGTCAATATCTAAAGGAGCATGCTAACAAATTTCTGGCCCTGTGCAAGCTTTACTTCACATGAATTTTGACTGAAAATAACCACACTATCCGATGAGATGCGGTATTTTTAGTTTGAAGTCACAAAAACATATATTTTCTCATGATAATTAATCCTTTTTTCACACGATTCGTTAACGTCAACATTTCGTCATTAAACATTCCAAACCATACATTCAAAAAAGCTTTTCTGTTAAAGTTATAAGGTATTTAAGTTTGTGTGTCATCAAAATTTTAGTAACGTTATCAGCTGTTCGCCTCTTTTTAACGATAACATCGACAGCAATTTATCGGCAAGAACGAATAACGCTGAAAGCTGTTCAAAGAAACAATTACATGTATTTACAACAGCGCTTTTGTCCTACAGTAACTAGGAAAGAGTAAAACTTTTTTGTTAATTAAGAATATTACTTTATTCATGATACTTTCTAATTATATTATTTTTATTATTACTTTCTATTATTTGTTATATCTTAGCTTAGAGACCTTGATCTCCATTTACCGCACTGTATTTCAATATAAAAAGGTAGCAAAACCTATTAAAGGTACTCCACTAAGGTTTTTTGACATGACGGGACTGGAAATATTTTTCTGAGATTATTTCTCCATTTGATGTAGATCTATACTAATAACTTATATGCAAAATTTCCGATCATTAGCTTGCTCCGTTTTTCTAGAATATTATAAAAGTGAAAAAATGACCCAAAATTGAAAAGAGTTTAAACGCTTTTCACTCAAATCGGACTATGAATAGCACAAACATATGATTTTCAATGTATTTCTCCTATATTTCTTGGTTATATTTTATTAATATTTATGTTTTAGTGCTCATGTTTTTTATGAGTTAAAAATAAAATTTCATGTTTTTAGGCTTATAAACCTCAGTGGAGTTCCTGTAATAGGTTTATGGAATGTTTAAGTCAAAAGGCAAAGGCATATTTAACGCTTAATATTCAGTCTTGTAAATGAAGGCATCCATCAAGTGTTATTATAAATAAAATATAATTCATATAATGGACAAGTCCTATGCAGTGAATGGCTGTGTAACCAAAATTATGAGTGCATGGAAAAACATGTTGTTATTTATCCTTGAAATCTGTTTTAATATATAGTGCAATAGAAATAATAACCATTCTTAAAAATTATACATGTACAAATTTTTATTTTTTAAATAAATCATTTTACATGGCAGACATCTCGGGTTACACATCAATTTACTGCATGGGACATGTCTACTATATGCCATTATTTATTATAACACTTGATGGATTTAGTTATAATACAGAGTATTCGTATTAAGCGTTAAATTTGCCTTCACTTTCTTTGAATTTAACATTTCGGAAACATATTAATAGATCTTGCTACCTTTTTATATTATAATAATAAAAATAATAAAAATAATATCTTTATTTAAAGAAGGTTATACATTATTAACATACAATAACAATCATATATATCTTATTTCCAATGTGGCCTTCTGAAATAGAAAACAACAACAACAACAACAGGACATGCATAGGAAGAAAAATGAATGTATAATATGTAATTTTTAGAATATTACAACTCATATACTTTCTACAGACAATTTGTTTTAACATATACGTATATTGCATCATTCGTTCGTTTGTTCATTCGTTCGTTCATTAATTAATTAATTAATTAATTCATTCATTCATTCATTCATTCATTCATTCACTTCACTCACTCACTCATTCATTCATTCATTCATTCATATGAACAATATCAATATTGAAATACAGTGCGGTAAATGGAGATATAGGCCTCTCAGCTAAGATACAACAAATGATAGAAAGTAATAATAAAAATAATATAATTAGAAAGTATCATGAATAAAGTAATATTTTAAATGAACAAAAAAAGTTTTACTTTTTCCTAGTGACTGTAGGACAAAAGTTCTGAAAATTGTTTCTTTGAACAGCTTTCAGCGTTATTCATCCCTGCCGATGAATTGCTGTCGATGTTATCGTTAAAAAGAGGCGAACAGCTGATAACGTTTCTTAAATTTTGATGACACACAAACTTAAATACCTTATAACTTTAACAGAAAAGCTTTTTTGAAGGTATGGTTTGGAATATTTAATGACAAAATGTTGACGTTTACGAATCGTATGAAAAAAGGATAAATTATCATGAGAAAATATAAGTTTTTGTGTCTTCAAACTAAAAATACTGCATCTCATCGGATAGTGTGGTTATTTTGAGTCAAAATTCATGTGAAGTAAAGCTTGCACAGGGCCAGAAATTTGTTAGCATGCTTCTTTGGATGTTGACTATGAATCCATAACATTGATTTACTCGAAAACAGTTCGAGTATGTTAAAAATAGATGAATACTTATCGTACGTCAATTGTATTCCCCGCGCCGACATGTATATACTGGTACAGCTGTGGACACTGGAACAGCTGTCTGCCCATTTGATTGTACGGTGTGATGTATGTGTGTTACTGATAAACGTTAATGATATCACGGCGGGTAGACGGTCACAAAGGACAATCGATCAAATAACTTGTCTGCGATCAAGTACATATCGCATTGTCCATTTTTTTTACTGCTTTAGTATATAACATAATCAAGATTCATTGTTTATCATACTGTAGATAAATCTAAGCGGAGTATTGCAATATTCTAAAAATTAAAAATGTTAATCCTTTTACATTATCGTTTACTCTTATATTTTTTCATTTGCTAATACTGGTTTGTCAGAATTTAATGTTTTTCGCCTTTTGGCAGACTTTTATATGTTCTGAAAATAGAGGAGGTACAATGTACATATATTTTTTTGTCGAATGAGTACCATTCTACATATAATTTTTGTCGAGTGAGTGAAAAACATATCTTTCAAAAGAAAATAATAGAAAATTAGCCTTAAGATAATCAATGATTTTTTATCATGTTTTATTTCAAGCAGTAAATATATGGACCACGCGATTGCTTAAATGATGTCCATGGGCACATGATGGCAACCTTCCCTATTTGAATAGAATATACATAATTATACTTCCAATGAAGTAAGTGATAAGACATTAATTTTCACAAATTAAAGGTTGTCTAAAACCATCAAAGAAACCATGAGTTTATGAATTATCCCTTACATTCCAGTTATTCAAATTTAAGTTTTCAATGCAGCTTTATCTAATTGTACATGTCTCTGATTAGCGCCGGTTTACGCAAAAACAATTGTTAAATGATACGCATGTGATAAAATACATAGTTGAGAAATCCGTTAAGTGTCCATTCCGACGTTGACATTTATAACTTATTCAAGCTACCGGTATTTTGAAACAAAAAACGGGTCTTAACACATTAATATATTTGTAGTCGTAACGAAATAACTGTGACCTAAAGGTTGATATGTTTCACTTGACTACGCCCCGTTCCCTCGCTTATTTGCGTGTTTTCGCCTCGCGACCCCACAAGGCGAAAAGTCGAGAATTAACACTTTAAAATGACTGGATGCACAGCGAAACCACGCTTATTAGCGGGAAGGGGAACGAAGTTTTATTTATTAAACTTCGCCCCCTCCCCCTAATTAGCGTGTTTTCGCTCCGCGTTTCGCCGTTATATTTCTTTAATCTCGTTCCGCGCCCCGTTGGGCGAAGTTTTATTTATTAAACCTTTGCATAAGCAAGTAATATTTTTGTAAAGTTTCGACATATTTTAAGGAAATTTTTAAGGATGTTTGAGTTAAATCGCATATATTCTATGAGAATTTGGTACATGTCTGCGTATACATAACTCTCTGAATCATACAATATTATAACTTTCGGATAAGGTAAATAAACTTTTCTCTCTGACCGTATATAAACTCATTTAACACCTCTAGTATTATCTCATTATCTCATTAATTCATTGTCCAGTATTTGTTACAACAGTTTTCAGCATTGGACATGCATAGATACTTACCATATTACCATACAAGAACAAATTTCAGTCATACATGTATTGTTTAATGAATGAAATGCAACATATACTCATCATAAACTATACTTTTTTCTAAGACTATCATGAATTTTAAATACATTAATGAAAGAAATGCAGCATTTTCAAACATTCTTTTGAAAATAATTTCTTTGATTTATATGGTTGTTTCCACATAGAGTAAGGAGTTGTGAAAGGAATGCTCACGAACTGTTACCACATAAAATAGAGGCATACACAATAGTTTTTATCATTCGTGTATTTAAAAATTGTTTTTTAGTCTCATGTTCATGCTTCAACCCGACATGTATTAAGATATGCTGAAGAATATTAATGTTAAATAAACTAAGATGAACATTTGAAAACAAGACATCTTGAAACAAAATCGCTGCCATGCAAAGTGTCTTTGTATTGTGTTGTTTTGTTTCGATGTTTTTTCTGGTTTTCTTTCTATTTCTTTCTTTCTTTCTTTCTTTTACAAAATTAAGCACTATGTCATTTAGTTTTGGCTTCTGTTGTATTGTACAGTGCAAATTAGATAATCAATTTTAGCAAATAATGTGCAGTGCAAATACAATACAAATGTCTTGATCTGTTTTCATTATGTTCGTTAAGGAATATCGCTTTACACAAAACAATTTAATTAAAATTTTGTTTCAACAAAACAAATAAAAAAGTCTTTATTTTTGTCTTTCTTCTAACGTAGACATTCGTGTTAAAGCAAGAAAATAAAACAATGCCGGAATAAGAAGTTAAATGATGTCATAAAAAGCGATTATCATTTTCAAAATATCAGCAACTCAAAAATAGCAGGGGCATACCTTGGCTTATTTTGAGTATACGCCAGTTACAGTCCCTTGGGCCAAAGTATCGTTACTACCAGGTATTTAGGGGGAATCTAAGGGATGAAAATAAAATAAAGTTTTGTATTGACAGATATTTGCATTAAGCATGTTAAGTTTGACGTGAATATTGCTTTCATTAAATAATCTAAAGGTAAATTACCATTAGGACAAACGATATGGTATGACCAAACGATTAAATGTTTAAGTGTAACAATAATCATAAGCATCAGAACCACACCCAAATTTTATAAATACGCGATCATTTAGGTCCCTAGAAAATAATAATTTTAGAAATGCATTATGTCAATATGAGAGAAATAATTGTTTTTAACATTTTTTATCTTAACTTTACTTTTTACAATTCATCCGATTTTTTAGTTATATTACACAGTTACAATACATGCTTTAGTTGTTCGGAATAATCTTGGCAAAACCTTAAAAATAAAGGTTGGGCGTGACTGCTTATAGCTCAGAGTTCAATGAGCATTGCTCTGTAGCTTTGTGAAATTCGAGGACGAATTTCAATATTGTGGCGCAGTATGTCACGGTTCAGAACTGTCCACTATTTAAGGGAGAAGATGTGTAAGCGGTCGGAAAGCTCAGTCGGTAGAGCCGCGGAACTGTTTTCCGAAGCTTCCGGGTTCGAGTAACGGTCAGGCTGCACATTTTTTATATGTATATGTATGCATATGTATGTATGTATGTATGTATGTATGTATGTATGTATGTATGTATGTATGTATGTATGTATGTATGTATGTATGTATGTATGTATGTATGTATGTATGTATGTTTGTATGTCTGTACAGATGAAACTATGATTAATACGTTATAGTTGTCATTATTTGCAGAAATGTGTAATATGAACAAGTGCAACATTCAGATACCTGTTTCCAAGGTCGATGTCACAGTAAAAGGTAATATGGTTTTAGGGAACGTAGGTGCATACCTATTGGATAATCATGAGACGAAACATTTGTAACGAATGTATTTTGTGAGTATGAAACACTTGTTTTTTGATATAATTTATATCTAGAATAATGTTTGTATAATTTAATGTTTAACTTAATAGAAGGAAAACCACATAAAGGATCCATATCATTAGTTGAATCTGCGTATTTTCAATAAAATGACTGTATCAAATAAAGAAACCTTATAATAAATAAAATCAAAGTCTATATAGAATCTATATACTTAATAATTTCTTTTGTAAGAGAGATTTTTATACTAAGTAAGATGATATTGAATTTCAGAAGTGCAATAATGAAAACTTATTTCCATGTAAATGTATAATGTTCTTGCGCATAATCCTCTTTGCTACAAATTTAACGAACTTTTGTTTACCATTTGGTTTTATTTTAAACAAAACCTACGCAGACAAAACCGCTCTTAATCTTATCTCGTACACAGTGTAGCCAATTTAAACTACATTTGTAACGCCAGTCACGAAGGAGACTACTTGTGTAACATGTGTTACATATGTGTAATGGAAATAAAACATATATCAAAACAATTACTTATCAAGTGCACATGAACATTTTGGTGTCACATATACTTACATGGTGTAAAAGGTCAAATTTAATATATATAAAATTAAGCAAAATGTTCATTACATTTTAAGCTTAATAGTATTGAAAATAACAAGTCAAATTAGTATCTTATATTGTTTAAATGAAATGACAGGTTTCAGAACGCAGCACTCAAGTACATACGTTTACATGGAATAATTTGATAGTTTCATTACTATATATGCATGCGTCCGACATAGATTTGTCAGCACTTATTCAGGGTAACAATTAATGAAATTGTAAACATAGCAAGATTGTTGTCGTGGTTGAACTTTTTTTTAAAGAATCGTTGTCCCAGTTATGCGCGTCAACAATGAAACATTTTTCTTATTGTCTTTATTTGTTATTAAATTCTTGTTTAACATAAATACAAACAAAAAATGGTATTTCCGTGTCCCACACTTTCAATTCAAAAATATTTACGTATAAGGAAGAATGATCGACGGTATTTTCCGGCCGATTGCAAGAGCAATCATCGTTGCTTTCAACGGCCCTGAGGCGTAACAAATATCACCACCGTGGATTTATTCTAACAATATTTTTTTGTGACGAAGTAGAAAGGAAGTAGATCTTAGTTTTGAGTGCGTTGTTGTAAAATATTGGACGTAATGCCGTTTAGATGTTTGTAATAAATCACGCAGATTTACGGTCTTCGTGATTATATTACTGCGCATCTGTACTCCATACCGTAGAATATTTTGTAACAATGCATTCAAGAACAAGATCTATTTCCTAAATGATTTTAGTGAAATATTGCAAAGCGGGTGGCTAAATAAATTCCGTTTATCAGTAAAACTGGACAAGTCGCCAACTGAACTGACCCAAAACCCAACCATGTCATGTGTGCGTATCCGTATTTAAACGTGAAGTCATTTAAATCTTTTTTTCACTAAATTGCCAATACAATTTGTTTGGCACGTCATACTTAATGCCACATACGATTCAATATATTAATATTTGACGACATGGCCGAGTGGTTAATTCATCAGACTTCTACTTTAAGATTGCCTGCCACGTGGGTTCCAATCCGTTAAAGGCGAGTCTTCAAGAAACTTCACATTGTCTAAAATACTGGCTTATTCAATGAACATGCTTAAAAGTGCCTCTTTGAAACATTTTAACCTCAAACACAATCAAACTAAAATAAAGTCTGTATTATCGTATAATATAAAAACGTACATCACTGTTATATGTCAGAACACCTAGCTAACGTCCCAAATTTAAAATCACAACACATGTCAAATGAGAATAATTGTTTATTGATAATAAAACATTTACTACATATTCATTCGCCTTTAATATCTGAATATTCAAATGAACAAAAATGTATGTATTTCATCGTTTGATAACGTTAAAAATAAGTGTTCAGAATGTTACGTGATTATTTTTATCGTTTATAACAAATTATGAATATAGTTATAAAGATTAGATGTACTATCAAATGAGCAACATTAATTAGAATGCTCATATGCCAACCAGATGGGAATTATGCCAAACATGAAGAATTAACTGTTATTGTATATAAGTGTACCGATTACACACGCACTTTTAATATGTTTATCTGTGCATGTGTAACTAACTGGGAATTGGTTGTTTTGCTCCATATCTATTCCTCGATTTTGCCCATACATATTACACATTTCAATAAATGGTCATGCTGTTACAGTGCATGTAACCTGGAATCATAAAAAGTGTAGAAGTGTCGATGATGTTGTCGTCTTCGTTATCGATTGCAAAGGCATTGCTATTGTTGCTGATGTTCAAAGAATAATGCGCAAAAATCATCTTTAATGGAGTCAATTGTATTTCTAACAGATGATATAGATCATTCTTAAAGTCTGAATAAAAATGTTTTAAACAAAGACAAATCCAATTGAAATATTGAATCCACATCGCACATAATTAGGCAAAACTCAAAAACCGTCCTAAGGCATGTTTGATACAAAATAATGTTCAAAATTATTTGTACAAAACAAATTTCACATTTTAAACTAAGAGGCTCATTTGAAAATATAACAATTGTTCAAAAAAATGTTTTATCCGAGATATTGAAAAAAGGAAAACAGATTAACAATAGATCAGAATTACAGGAAGAGCGAGTTGAAAACACTGAGTTATCTATTTTACTTGTTTGCACAAATGCGTTGCCTTAAGATATAACAATGCGCAGATAATATTTTTCTTTTAAACAGTATTTGTATTAGAGAAATTTATACTTCTCGTTTAACATTAACAAAACAATAAGTGTCTAAATATAGGAACATATTTTGTATTTAAGGAACACTACCAAATGTTAAAATCATAAAAAAGAAAACATGAAATTTGAAAATATTACATAGATTAACTGGGGCACTTAAAATGGAATGACAGAAAAGAATAATAAAGAAATATACTCAAAATGCAATTGAAAAATCGATAAATGCAAGTCTCATTCCAATTTGAATAAAACACGTTAACCCATTACTTTATATACACCCCTTTTAACGCCGTTTATCACACCCCCCCTTTTTGTTGTCTCTAATGGTGACAAAATGCCTTATTAAGGCCCACACACTTGTTTTTGTTTGAGAAATGTTGTTAAAAAAGTGACCCCTTTTTCGGCGCGGCCCCCAACCAAAAGATACATCAGGGGGTTGCCAGAAGGGATGTGCCCCTTCTGTTTGGGGGGGGGGGGGTTGAAGGGGCGGAGTCCCCCTCATCGCCAAGAAAATTTTGGACTTGTGAGAGGCTATAAATGACCCTAGATTGATCATAAGGTAACGTGTAACCAACGCTGAAAAGCATTTGACTCTATCTCAATCCATTGAGAAGTTGCAGCGCTTTGAAATCAATTTTGATGGAAAAGATCAACGCAAAATAGTGATTTTTTGGCAATTTTGAGATGTCCCCTTGTTGCCATGGTAACAGAAAATTAAAGCCTGAGCACGTTGTTTCAAGGGCAATGGTCCAGTAAACATCTGTGCCAAGTTTGATTAGTGTTGAAGCAGTTTTTATAGAATTATAGCAATTTGAACTTGTAACGGGAGACTTTTCAATGAAAACAGCCATTTTTCACAAAATGCTCATGAAGTAATGGGTTAAATGCTTTTCATTTTTAGATAATATTGAACTTTTCAAAATCGGAATAGTTATCAACCTCTATTAAACGGCATTAAACATAATTATTTCTAGTCACGTAGTCTAGTCTAAACAACCTAAGTAGAGTCCCTTAATCTTCATCTGAGCATCATCTGTATCTAAATAATTGTAGTGTACGAAACTACAACAAGTTAATTGAAATAAGTACTTTATGCCTAAAGAGCAATGTCATAAATCGCTACCTAACAAAACTGTAAAAAATATTCAGAAATTATCTTAAGTTTAGAGAGAGAAAAACAAAATAGAATGAATATACACACACGCGCTTAATACTCTCCCTTTATCCATCTTTGTCGGCATGACCTACAATAAAGAACATTAAAGTGTTTAAGTGAAGAAAATGTCTAAGGTTGCAAAAGAGTCAAAGAGGTATTAAGTTAATAGAAAACTTAACTTTTAATTGTATTGAATTGAATTGAAGGTTTCTAGAGAATGTTTTTATTCATCACTGTGTAAGCTTAATTGTAGACGGAAGTAGTTTTGGTTTGTTAGACTTAAGTCTTATTATATAAAAAGGTTTTTGGGGTATTTACACGTACCTTTACAAAAGTTTATAGATAACATTCAACATCATCAGTATACATACGGTACTCAAAGCTACACTGGATGATACCGCTGACGACGCTGTTGAAGAATAATGTAATACGGATGAGTCTAAAGTTCTATATCTATCTAATATAGTTCAAGAAAGATATGATGTACTTATGTCATAGATGGTTATCCACAATTTGACAAAATCAAAGGACAATGAACAGAGTAACTTAGATTATATACACATGGAAAAACGTAACATTTACATACATGAAATTACTGAAAATTTCGTAGAAAAATGTAAATACCACGTGTTATGTGAACCGTGATTTATATGACTAACATTAATGCCCATTTTTTGATAAAAACAACAACAAATTGATATATACTTCGTTGATTAGTTTCATTAAGAGTGATAAAGTTTGTTTCCCAAACTTTTTGAATCTGAACATTGACATCTCTTTATAAATAGCAGAAAACGGTTTTAAGTTGAAGCCAGAAATATTGTCTGCCCACAAGGTGCAAGTACAGTAATGAATTTAATTATTTGAGGTTTGGCAAAAATTCATCGAAATATGAAAAACGAAATTCAATATGTTATGAAAGTTTCTACTAAGTTCCTTTTAAAACAATGTTAGTGTCGAAATGAACTGAATGCTATCAGAATTAAAAATCCACCCCAAGTTGTGAATTTATCATTAAAATATTGACTTACGTTTCGCACACAATCCACTTGCAGCAACAAACCCGTCATTACATTTGCAAGGACTTCCAACTTTATCACAGCTAGCATTTAAACTACAATCCGAGACCTTTGTACAGTTTTGACGCTAAATGGAATTTAAAATAAAAGTTTTAATTGATAATAAAAACATTTGAAACAAGTTTAATGATTCTGAAATCTTTTTGAAAGTCCCAGTGACAGACTTATAAAAATTCATGTCAAATTGTCAAATAGTTAATAATTGGAATAGGTTTTTTTGAACAATTTCTTTTAATTCAAGCATTCACAGTGATCGCATTCATATATGATAGAGATTATTACAAGCATTGTATTACCAAAGATACGCTTTAATTTATAGTTTTAATACCATGTTATGAAGAACAATTGAGGACAAAAGACACTGGTCCTTGATTGTTTTGTACGTTCATCAGGATTTTTTGCTCAACGTTTATGGAAAAGTATTATATGTTTTGATATATCCCAATATGATCGACGTTTAAGAAGAGTAGAATTATCTTTGTTAACTCATCAATATATTTATCACTTGAGTTTAAATAAAACCTGAGCTTAATATTTCTAAGTCATGAAAGTTCGTAATGCCGAATATTACCAATTATGAAATAAAGGTAAATATATATGAGAAAACTTACTTTCCGATTGTACAAAATACACTAAAATATTTTCAGTTTTGACATACACGTAATATAATTATTATACTAAAATTATACAGAATAATCACACCTTTTGAACAAACCCCATTTTCCTCAACAAAAGTTGCAGTGCAAGAACATTTGCCTGTGAGACAATCCGAATTTGGCGTGCCAGTGCAATTTGATCCAGTACTACATAAAGCTCCAAGAACTGAAAGGAGTATTTAAATATTAACAGGGTATACTCAAAACGTGTTAAACAGGACAAGCTTCATCGTTTTGCTACATTTGTCCAAATTTATATGTCTCACTTGATATTTCTTTTAGTGAATTGTGTTGAAACCATATAATAATTAAGGATTAATTTATGCAATGTTTTAGCCAACAACAAATATGCAAAATAAAAATGTAAATATCCAACTTTATTTAAACTTGTTAATTTAATATTTCATTGAATACGAAATAGGTTTTGATCGAACGTAAATACTTTTCACACATGCGTCATCTTTGTTCTTGTAACCTGCTTTACATGCACATTTTTTTGAAAAGCATTTGGAGTTCGTTAGTGTGCATACAGTCGATTCAGTTGTAATATCACAAGTTTTGCCGATAACTGAAAAAAATCACCAGTGATTAATATCAATTTTATGTATAGAAACCGTATAAAACGAAATTTACAAGAAGGAAAATTATGTCTTTCGAAATTTTGTCTATTGGTACAAAAGTTTAACATCGTAAACAGTGTAAATAACAGTTTAAAAAACTTAATACAAAAGTGAACCGTTCTACCTTATAAAAATGGAAATATTTGACATTATATTATTTCTTCGATGTATACTTTTAAACTTTTAAAACTTTCAAGAAAATTAAAATCTATAAATTCATTCCTTAAAATAACATTGTTAATAGAATATTGTGTCACATTATATTAAAGACAACTCACACAGTTTTCACCCAAAAGTATATTTTGATAAATGTATGCTTTAAAGCAGCAAGCCTCCAGATTCTTGCTAATTTTCATGAAAATTTGAAAATGTTTTCAACAGTACAACATTGTGAAGTAACTAAAAGAATGCAATTTACACATTATCAATGTCAATGCAAACCCATGTTAATTACTTTTACAAGGTTGAAATATGCAAAAAAAGCCCTTACTGCGTTAGTAACGCAGTAGAAATATATTTATAAATACTGTTAAAATGGTCATAAATCGCACATAACATGCAAATTATCACTAGAATTTTGAATATTTATACTTTTCCTAAAATCTTAGTACATTTTTCTTAGGTTTGATTTTATCGAAATATTTTTGCTCATCTGGAGGCATGCAGCTTTAAATTATTAAGTTAGGGCTTGTTTCAGCAGAGTTAAATGATAATGAAAAAATACTTATGGGGGTGCATTTCCCTTGCACATCTTTAAAGGTGGCATCACACTGACATATTTTTGATGTACACGAGGCATTTCCTGCACTCGAACAATTTGCTTTTCCCGTGCAGTTGGAACCGAGGACTGAAATAATAAGGCATTCAAAATTTGACATTTCGAAAGAAAAGATTCTAATTTAATAAGAAATATCCGAATGGATTCCTAAACTGAAAAGATTTAATTATACTTGTTTTAATTGTTTAAATGCAGTTTCAATATTCAAATAAATAAAAAATAGGAATTATTGCAAAATGTAAACTTATTTTGATTTTCACCTCATTACTCACTTTATACCCTTTGATGGCCATAATTTCATTTTAATGAGGCGCCCATCTGTTTATACTTTGAATTTAATTTTTATATTTTACAAAAAATTGTTTTAAAGATATCTCCTTGAAGATTTTTCTATACCGGTCTACTAATAAAACCTTGATTCGAATTAAAAGGAATATCGGTTTATGCAAGGAGCGTCATATTATGATACAAGGAGGTGTTACGAGCAACTTAAACTCAATTACCTCCTGATGAAGCCGCAGCGCCTGTGTTCAGGTTTACAACTGCACATATTACACAGAGCAACATACATAGATATACAGACTCCTATAATATTAAAATACACAAAAATATATCAGCAAGTTAAACACAAAACAACTTAGTCGAAATAAATCAATATTTAGTATTCAAGATACCAAGCACAAAATTCCAAGCATTGCTATTTAATTTGTATCTGAGTATTGTGTCGCTTGAAAATAATGGGGTTGCACTTTTCGAACAAAAAAAATAAGGGAAAATAGATAAAGTAGACAAATAAAAATTTCTTGAATTTTTAATATCTATTTATATTACGTTTCGTGTTATGTATTAAGGAATACTTTAAACAGCTTTCCTTCCTGTTCAGAAAAAATGTTTGTTCATTTAAGCAAATAAGACTTAAAATATAACTATATGAGGAATTTGTTGTTGCAGGGCTAAGTAAATAATTCTTTTCATTATATTACAAGGGCTTAATCACTGCTGATCTTTCACTTGCATAGGACTGCCTTAAGTAGCAAATATTGCAACCACTCCAGTTGCTACTGTTAGAAACATATATTTGTTCATTTATGAGGATAGAATAACAGCGGTACATTTTGCAATTTGCCATGATTGGAATATCTATATATTTTAGTTACAATATAACTAATACCCCTTAAACAATCAAGGATATTGTGTGTTAAATATAATTAGATTAATTGCATAGCATGTACAGTCTTCTACATATTTGTTGTTGATATGAAATGCTCGTAAATGTATTACATAATACATCGGCAGATATAAGACAAACTTCTAAAAAGATACATGTATATATGGCACCAATATCAACCTACCCTTTCAATACCTTTTTGTCATGCTCATTTCCATAATAAATGTGATCATAAATTTCTACTTTTTTTTGGTTTGGACTGCTCGTCTGGATTTCGAGTTGTGCCGCAGAAATATTTTAATTAAAATACGTCTTTCTCAAAGAGTGTTATAATTTGAAACAGTGTCAATTTTCTTAGCCAAACATTTTAAATCACAAATCCTTCAATATATAATTTAGGGAATAAATGTAAATATCAATGAAAATAGAGTTAAAGTATTTTTTTATATTGTACCAACAGCACCGCTTCATGTAGAAACATTTGAGTGTTGATTTTAAAATCTGAAATGCATGCTTCCTCTCTGTAAAGTTAAATCATTTCACTTTTTTTGCGTTCTGCAACTCATTGTTTGAACAAAGTGTTTGATCAGCACGTGTCAGATTAAATGATCAATAACACAGTAACTGTCTCATGAACATCTGTTTTCGTGAATTACATTAAGTTTGACAATTAATGGTCGATTTAAAAAGACTGATAAGATAAACTAATCACATTTTGTGTGATAATGTTCCATAAGAATTATATTTTGCAAAATGTATAGTTTATAGTACAGAAAATGTATTTTATTGTTTTTATTGTTAACACTTATGAATTTCAATAAAATCAAGCCATAATTTTGATCAGGTGATACAAATTACAGCGCTTTCTCATTGCCTTCACTTTATGCCACTGGTCTCTTTCACTATGTGAAAGCATAATCAATTTCCTTTTCAATTTATTCTCAAAGCAAGATTGTGGTTGATATACGGTAGACTCTTGACAATCAAGTGACTATATGATCTCCTTTCAGGGAGCATAAATTTATTGCCTAATGACCATATGAAAAATACTCGACGCCTTTAACGAAGGCATGGCAACAAAAATACACATACAATGATCAGACATAGCAAAACATTAGCAATTTGGGTGAGTTAAGGGGGGGGGGGTAAGAATTGTCCATCTTTGTGTATTGTACTTAGTCAAGCAGATGCTTTTAAGAGAAACAAGCATTTTGTCCAACAATAGAAGGTTAAAATAGCTGGGACATAGCCTCAAATATTCTGAAATAAATTACCGGGCATTTTGATTACAACCACTAAGTTTCACTGAAACTAATTAATATGCCTTCTCCGAAACAAAACAAAAATTTCATTGGAATACTTGTACAAATGCTATTGAGAATCATGATAAATAGTTAGATAATCAACCATAATTATATACATATTCTTGCTTTGAAACATATAAATATTATCGTAAAAGTTAACACTTACTTGAAAGACTTCTGATAATTTTCTTTTAAAACCTTAAAAATTTACAATGCTACATTCTTTATGTCTCTCTTGTGAAAAAATAAAAAGTCCACATAAGTGATAATTATTGCATAGTTACAATACATTATATCATGCATCTAAGTAATTTAAATCTTCTATAATTACAAAAAATGAATATACATTACACATGTGTAACTTTGCCTCAGACGATTTTATTATGTTTTAAAATGTTTGCGGGGTACTGTGTTAAATAAATTAATCACATACATGTTAACATTTTATTCCCTATGTTGAAATAGAAATAACAGAATTGTCAATTATGCAAAAATATTTAACCATGATTGTTGTTCAGTGTATAAATTAAATCCGCCGTCCTTCAACTGACGTTGACAATGCGCTAGAATTTATGTGATTTGCTTAACTTTTCTGTCACGTGACATGCCCGTCAGTTGGCAACCGTCCTTCTATTTACAATTAATACATGTGTCTGTACCTGTTTAGCTGGGTTGCATTTTGTCTTTAATCAATGCTCTGTGTTGCAATGAATTGACTGATCTTGAAAAAGAGGTCATATGTGTATTATATTAAAGCTTTCGAAAAAGGAAACGACGCTCATATAATAACCTGCGTAAGAACTTTGAAAATTCAAATATAATTCTTGTATAGAATAAAAGGTCAACTGAACTACTTTTGCTGTGTTTTATGTTCGCTTACATGCATGAACACATCATATTTAGTTGAAAGTATGTGATAACAAAATCGTTTAACTGCTTTATACATGATGTCACTACCTGGACAAATAGAACATTGATGATATGATGTGTTAATTGTAATAAGATTGTTTATGCCTACAGTCTTCTGCAGATTGAAAAGAATTTTTTTTCTTATTACATGTTCTACAAGTATATGAATTAGGAGACATCATCTTCAAGTTTTGCATGTTACAAATCGCAACATAGGGTCAATGTTTGGCACTTCACAATACACGCGAATAGAAAGTTTATGCTTTGCTGTGCTTATATAATTCATATACCTATTAATGCACAGTTCGATACTTGTAGTGCAGGTACTTGCCGGGACATACTACACATTGTCTGTGGTTTACTTTTTATCAGATAGCAAAGGGTTCATAATATTCAGATGCTCTTACATTGGTAACATCTGTTCTCGGATTCTATATTGTGACTACTCAAGAAGTGTTTTTATTTTTGCCTATGATACAAGAAAGAAAGAACATCAAAATACTCGACAATCTGATTTATACACAATTGCCGCGACGTCACGTAAAAATCTGATATCATTTTGTTCCGATGCTCTTGTTTTAGCTAAAACACCCCTGTCGAATGCTTTATACGCCGAATGTAGTTGAGTATTTTATACGTTAGCGCTGTATAAATGTTTATTATTTCCCAATTATTGTCATTAATATTATTGTATCCTTATTGGGATCTAGTGTTTTAGAAAGGCATTTTGTAGTTGTAAATGTTTTAACTAACTTACACATGTATATATATTTAAAAATCGTTTCAAATTGTACATAGAACAAACATTAAACATGGCATATCAATTTAATTTTGACATGCCCATATTCATAATAAATGTATGCATACATTTCTTCTTTTTTGTTTCATTTTGATTTATTTGACTGTTCTCTTTTGGATTTCATTAAGTGCCGTTACATACTTAAACTGCATGACTGATCGTAATTTAATTATTTTTCTAAAAGTGTGAAAAAGCGCCATTTATTTTTTTATACAAACAATTAAATCACATGCAAAACCTTTAATAAACAATTACGCTATAAATCTGAATATTAATGCGACAAAAGAGAAAAACAATTTACTTAAGATGAAGTGTTTTTTTTTAACAATTTTCCCACATCTCTGTTTTGAGTAGAAACATTTAAGTGTTGATAAAGAAAATCTAATATTGCCTGCTCTTTGATTGAGATAGGTTTTAAATAATTTGTTTTCTTCTTCCTTTTTTATTTAAGAAAGTCACATTGTTTTAAAACGAAATTGTTCTGTAAATGTCCGATATAATTTCTACCAAATAATACCGGTTTCAGCGGTGTTTATAGGCTATTTTACACCGGTTGTGTCGTTATGATACGAAAATAATCGGCCTTCGAGGTCAACCCATGCACATCAAAACACCAAACCGGTGTAAGATAGCCAATTAAAACCACTGAAACCAATATTATTTGGAATCTAGCACGGTTAAATAAGGAAAATCACTAACACTTTTTTGTTCAAGCGGTAATCACATTTGCTGCAGATTATCATATAACACTATTTTTTCCGCACCCTACTGTCGCTTAGGCAAACAACATTATTAAACAAAATAAATAATAATAAGAAAAAGAATCACATTATTTTGCGAGACTAACATTATCAAGTTTCCAACATTTTTAACTAACCTATCAGACTAGTGTGTTCCACTTAAAAATAAAACTCTTGTACAGAACATCAAATGTTTCGATGAAATAAAATGCAACATTTTAGACATTAGAACGATAATACATGTAAGAGGGAAACGTTCGCACATTCTTAAAGGAATAGGAATGGATGGATTTATGTCTGTCTAATATAAATATTCATCATTTAAAAAGAGGAACCATGACAGTATTTCTGTTGACATCAACCCTATAAGTGAGAAATTTGTGTTTTAAGACACTATTTTTTACATGAGAAATAAGTTCATGGGCGCCGCCATTTTGGCGTTCTGTCATTCTCGCGAGACAGACGAGACCGAGATAGTGACGTGTTACACCCACTTCCGGTTAGATGTACACGCTGGTACAACTGAAATATATCTTGATGAAGAACTTATTAATCTTATTGCGTACATTATATATTATTTATGAAAACATCATATGGAACTGAATTGATTGAAGACGCCGCGATTTTCAAGCTTGATGATGATCCCACCACATGGTTTTAGCAATGACTGCTTAATTTTCAAAGATAAACCATTAATTTAATTTGGGTACTGTGAGAAACTTCTTCAAATTGACGATATATCCTTTTATTTTGTACTTAATTTTCGCTAGACAAGCTGTCCGAATAGGGTACATCGCCGGTCATGTATCTTCTATTCTAAAATATCAACTAAATCCAATATGCAGAGATCTACTGAGGACGCGATTTTCCGCCATTGACGCTAAAAATGAGATTGGTGATAATGGCGCAGGAAAATTGGCAGCCAGACTATTATCGTATGAAAACAAAACTGCCCGTTAGGTTAATTAGGCACCCAGTCAAAACTGGTACCAACAGCAAAAGATTGCCCATTCCCCTGTTATTACGCATATTCTCGGGTTTATCCAGTTCCCTATGGAAGTTTTCCACGTTATCTACTTCCCACAGAGATACGCATTTCTACTACCATAAATTTAATCCAATAAAACCAAAAATCATAAATCTACTTAATATTTAAAATGATTATTGGTAACAGAAAAAAAATGTGTTGCTATTTTATGACATGCTGTCATTTACAGCATAATTCGATGGTGTGGAACTTAATTTCCCCTAAGGTCATTCAGTTCACCGATGATGCGTAAAAAATAGATATTAGAATTTTGAGCAGCCAATAAAAATGTTTTTCCTGCAGTTCATATTAGGCTACGATTACGACGGCAGCATCATACCTTGACAGACATGTTGAAAATTTACTTTTCAAAAGAGTTGCTTATATTTTTGAAATGTGTACATCAATTATAACATATGTTACACCTTTAAATTTGAAAGTCAGAATCAAACTGCAAAAATTTAATTACATGTACTATTAAGAACACGTTTAAGTAAGATTTTTATAATAAAGATAATTATCGCCGTTCAATAATTAATATTCGTTGCTGCGTTTGTTTATTTAATTGCATTATTTGATTGTGAAACTTTGTCAGATAATAACATGTGTATTTATTAAATCTGTGAAATATTGTTTAATTACATTAAGATGAGACTTTAATGAACATAGCATTGTTTGGAGTAACGGGCATCACTGGCCTGATGTGGTGCGACCGGTAGACGTTGATTTTTTTTCTTTATTTATTCATTTTTTTTTTTTGATATTGTTACGTATTTTGAACCATAAAAAATCTCCTCTCTACCTCCTGTGAAAATTAAATTGTCTGGTCAATACTTAATTATATTAATATTTCCCTACGATTCAACTAGATTTATCATAAATCTAAAGATGTGGGGAAATGACATCACGCGCACCTGTTTTTATACGGCCAATACACAAACATGGCCGCGCTTACTGATTTGTAGAAATCGGTGATTTATCGATTTAAATTTTGTTATCATTCGTTTAATATTATTATTTTGGTTGCAGAAAATTTGCAGATTAATTATTTATAGTATTCTTTTTCTGAAATCAAGTTTTTATTCTAACCTTGTCTTTCCCTTTAAGTGGAACAGTCCCAAGTATTAAAACAGGTAAAACTGTTTGATAAAATAAAATCCAATAATTTAGAAATAACAGCGATGTTACATGTAACCTCATCAAAAAATAATAATTTCAAAAACTTTTCTATAACACATTTTCTTTCACCTTAACAAACGTACTTGATGGCTATAGCGAAGGCAAATAAGCAAAAAATTCATCTACACGGACCAGGGTAAGAGGGATAGTATCAAATGATTCCAAACGACTTTAAATTGGAGTGCAATATGGTGTTGCTAGTAACAAATTCAAATACTGATGTTTTGGACTTCGAGACAAAATTTTCGGATGATAATATATCAAATGATATTTTATTCAATATCAAGTTCATATTTATAGGAACGAAATTATTGAGTGTACTATTGTGAATGAGACCTCTCTAGGGATGGTATTGAACGCTTGGTAATTTTCTAAAATAAACAAATGCACTTACTGATCAACCCAAAAATGCATGCCTCGAGATGACATTTATAAAATTAATATATATACAACTGGAAATCTAAATAATATCTGTACTTTTTAATAATTTTCTATCTCTTGTCAGAAATTGGTAACTTCGCTTTCAGTCCCAAAAGTTAAATGAAGAGCACATCCATGAACATTTAAGCAATATGTTTGACCGAAAACATTAATAAAAACGTAAACGAAATAGAAAAACACCAAAACACGAGGCTATTCTATTTGTTCGAGAGGACGTTTCCCCCAAGTATAAATCAGATTGCCGAGTGTTTTGTTGTACTCTATCAAAGGCAAAAATGAAAATACTTTCACTGTCATAAAGATATGTTAAACCAGAAAAAAAACAACCAAGATACGAGCATATGAACTAGTTTATCTTTATCTTTTTACGTCACAATAAGAAATTGTATCTAGTCAATGAGCATGCACAGTTTGTCGATAGACAGTGCTGTAACTGGACTGCTGGTAACTAATGATAATACCCGCACTCAAATTAACGCACTGTACATATATTGGTGTACGATTAACAAACATTTTAACGAATCTCCAAACTATGATACGATATACAATGTATGTTATTATGTATCTCGATAAGTTATACTAAGCTTCAATTATTGTATCACATTATTGTATTATTGAAAATTGATGATAATTATATTAAGCTATATTGAGTAATGTGTTGTTATAATTATGTTTTTATATCAACAATGCTAAGAAAATGGAAGGCTGTCTAGAATAGTTTTATTCTTAAAATCCAAGTATAATCTTATCTGTCTATTCAGCATACAATGACCAATTTGTTCGTTATAGACCCTTTCAATTAAGACCGTATTCAAGTTGTCGCCCTTGGATGACGTCATTGGGGGATACGGTGGACAATGCCGATACGATTAAGTACAATAATAGAGGGATATAAAGATCTTAATCCTTTCTCTTGTAAGATTGGCAGATTGAAATTGCCAAAATTTTGTGTAATTGAATAAGATATTACATAAAACGGATGGTGAAATGAATAAATATGTTTACTATAATTTGTTTTAATAGTAGACCATATTCCTGGGTAACTGATCATGATTACCATTTTCGTTAGATTCTTAATAATGAAAATTTTACCAGGCAGTTAAATCGTACTAACTTGCTTATACCAGAGATATAGATAATGTATCTATGTCTCTGCTAATATACAATACCCAAAAAGTATTTTCAGTTTCAAAAATGTAAGGATTCTGTAGTTTCGAAAAACGGCTGCGTAATTATTAATTGCAAGATACTGGTTTATTAAAAATCATTTTGATTTAAGCATTACTAAGACAAAGAGAAGAAAACAATATAAATCTATGTAATTTAAAAAAAAATGTAAAGGCATAAAAAGTAAAAATTCTTTTGAATGTACATGACTGTATACTATTTGTGTCGGCAAAAAATGCACTCTCAAAAATCGTACATCACACCAATATATTTAAGCTGGTAAAGTAATATTTTCAACTTGATACTTTTAATTCATACTCTGCTTATCAAATATTAAAAAAAAAAAAAAAAACCAAATTGTGAAACACATTCACAGAAATTCGTTATTAACTGAATTATAATTTTACGTATTTTTGACTGTGCCAGTTGGTAGGACTCTGGATCGAGTATCAAATCAGTAAGGCATGACCAATAAAGTCCCTAGGATGATCCATAACAAAATTCGGACCATAAATATTTTGACAACTAACAAAAGTGACGTAATCTGATGTAATGTTATAACTCTAAAAAATGCACCCTGGTGATTTATGATATCACAGCCAAGTGCCGCTTGTATATACAACATATGCACCCTGTTAATTAATATGTTACGGCCCAGTGTCGCTTAAATATACACATCTATTTATCTATGAAATAAGTTACTGGGAAAAGGTCTTTAAAGAATAGAATTTTATTATCAAAATTATCTTATTATCGTCTGTTGCGAATCTAATATTATAAAAGTCAATGCCACATGGTTTTCGTTCTTTCCGGAATATTTATAAAATTATATCCTTCACTGCATGGTTCTTTGAAATATTTTTCATACGGCATAATGAAGTATTGACAGAATGCATTCTGCTTTTGTTCTATTAAAGCTTGAAAAACAATCGTTAAAAGACATTGGCAATCTTATTTTCAGGTTTGTCACAAATACGCCGGAATTTTCTAAATGATAGAAAATAACACAGAAAACTAGAAAATGGCCATTTAAATTTATAATAGGCAATTTCAGTGTGTATGGGTGTTTATAAAATATTAAAATTTGATTTAGTTCCTGGCATTAGAGAAAATCTAGATCTAATAGATATATTCACTTTGAAATTTCGCTGTTTCACTCCGTAGCGAGAATTAATCTCAATCTTTGTTTTTGTATTTTTTTCTATTGTCTTGATATTAAATTTATGTATGCATGCGTAAATTTTTACATGTTATAATCATAACTGAACGATCAGTATTTACGCATTTAACTTTTCGATAAGCTATCTTTCTATGCGGCATGCATAGTTTTATCCCCCATTTACGTCACATCCGGTAAGGGAAGTAACTCTTCACTGACTGTTATCGCTTAAATGAAAGGGTCTATAACACACACAGGAGGGCAACGTCACGTAAGGTCTATCTCGAATAGAAAAACCTGCAAGACAGTTATCTTTGCAGAGCCACACTCACAACGATGCTATTAAATACCTTGTAAAGTTTGATGATTATATCATGACAAATAACATTGATAACGTCCTTTCGGATACAAATAAAACAAACATTCTTATTCGAGCAACTGTTTATTGATCATAGAAAAAATATTTGATATCAAATGGCCTCCAACATTTAACTTTTCTAATGAACAAACAATATGATATGTTGTTGATGCACGAATGTCCAATAAAAAGGGTTAATAATTTTTCACATTTATCATCATATCAATCATATACCAATTTATAATACCAAAAAACATGATCATACTTTCAAATGAGCAACATGCTTTAAAATGTTCATATGCCAATCAGACGGGAATAAAGCCTAATATGCGGACAGTGATACAGTTGTATAAACTTTGATAATGAATTGATTAATAATGAATAAACATTCACTCATTCATTTGTGACATGTTTATTCATTGTTGATTCAACTCATATATTGTAAGATATTTTTGCCATAACCTATAACACTAATGTTTGGTAAAATATTTAAATCATATTGTTGTTGTTGATGATGATGTTATGTGTATCATAATGTTTATCTTGTTGTTGTTTTATGTTATAGCTCGTTGGGGTGTTCTTCCTTCCTTTCTTTAATAAAACGTATACAATCTTAAACTATTTCAACACTGCAATATTGTATGCGAAAACCGATTTTAACATTTTATTTCAAATGATGTGAAATAAGAAAGCCATTCCGTGAAAAGGAATCAATTCAGCATATAACAAGGCAAAACTCGAAAACCATCTTCGGGCATGTTATATACAAAATAAATGCTAGAATTATTTGTAATAACAAATTCACATTTTAAAGTAAGATGTTCATTTGAAAATTAAAACAATTGTTCAATATAGTTTATAACAAAACAAGTGTAATAAAAGTGCTCAAACGCTTTATAAGATTAAAAATAAACAAACAAAAAAGCACAGATTATAATCACAGCAAAATTAATTTTTAGTTAAATATATCTGAAAATCTACACATCATATTAGTTATCATTACAAAGAAAAAAAACACAACGACAAAAAAGGCAAAAAAGGCAGGAAAGAGTAAGTAGAAGATGATCCTGTCACTACACTATATATTGTACGAGGGTTGTAAGATTGTATTTCCTCTCAGCAAGAATCTGGAAAATTAAAACGCAGTATTGGTGTTTGATACATACATTTATCTTTAAGAGTAAAATGTTTAGCTTCAACAATTAAACTGAAATAAGCTCGTGTACAATATAGTGTAAAAAAACAATTAAAGATGCTTGATGACTTTACGTCGCTTGATTTTCAAGTAAAATAACTATAAATTTATAACGATATATTGAATGATGTATATATTTGTAATATTACATAAGGGTAGAAAATTGTGTGTCAAACGTCAAAACAAGAGTAGTTTTGAGTAATGTAATTACAACACTTTCTTAAACACGGTAATTGAAAACTTATATTTATTATATGGCCTCTAATATAAGATCTTTCATGATATCTAATTAAGGTCAACTCGACAATAAGGCAAACTAGGTTTTCAACATTAAATGTTCTACAATAATTCGCGTGACCAAACCAATTGGTATATGATGTCATTTTGATTGATAAGGAGAAGCATTATTGCGGGGACTATTTCTTATTTCTTTTTGTCATATTTAATTTAAAACCGCCAAAGTAAGTGCTCTTAAAGTAATACAGTACATTAAAAAAGTTCAAGAACTCTGTCAGTTTCTCCAAATATACGGAAAAACTTCATATAGGGAAACAAATCTCAATAACCAATAGTAGACGGTGAACAGTTTTCCGTTTAACGATCGCTTATTTCAAACAAAACTAATAAATTAAATTATCACAGCTATTTCCTCCATGATTCGAGGCATAAGTGATAATCGGCGTCACATTCAAATAACGTCATATACCACTTGATTAACAACAGTAAGCATTTATTTTATCACACAGAAGAATTATTTGTCACTTTATTGTATATCTGCATCGAACAAACACAAATATTTCTGTATTTGGTCCAACACACATACTATTATACCACCTATAATAAAAATGAAAATATCAGATCGACTTTCAGATCAGAAATGTTACTTAAAATTTATTTATACTAGAATAAAATTGTTAAGGTCCTTAGAAAATATGATCTTGGTATATGAAGATTTAATAAAGATATAAAGAAAATCTTACTTTTAGAACGCTTTCAGTATGACATTTAACAACATCAGAATGCCAACAGTACTCATAGCAATCTTTATTGCCACTGCGGACGACGCTGAAGAGAGTTATATGATACTAATATTTACTTTTATTTGTCTGTCTGTGTATTGTAGTATGATAATCAAATGTACACAAGTTTGAATATCACTTAAATTAAAGATCGCTGTCACATTTGATCATATGAACATAATATTATGCGAGCACTTTTCTTTTGAATAATCAACAACATAGAAAGGTATAATCCCAAACTACCTCATTTCACCTACAGAAACTTTTCACCTACTTATGAAAACATTAAAAATGATATTTAAAAGTATATCACAATTTAAGTTGTGTTTAATTAAAGCAATGGAGTACGTCTATGCTATCTTAAAATGATCTGATACTTGACTTTCACTGAATCAAAACTATTGTAAAATATTTTGCTTACGTTCTGCACACAATCCGTTTGAATCAACGAATCCCGCTTTGCATTTACAAGTCTTGGCCGTTGTATCGCAGTCAGCATTTGATACACAGTCCGTGGCTGCTTTACACGTTTCGCCCAAAGCTAAAAATATGATGAAAGAACGTTTAAATAGGGAAAAAAAAACAAAGTAAAATACAGCAGGTTTTATTTCGTTTTGAAACCTATTTACAAACCATATGTGTGAATGTTTTAATTATTGTATTTTTAACGATTCAGAGGTCTTTAACATACTTTTTGTTCAAATTAAAAGTTTTAATTCTAAAAAGTATTCATTTAAGCAAAACTATAAATAAATGACGAAATTATTATTCATTAACGTCGTAATGTTTATGAAATTGAATTTTAAAGAAATTTTCATTCTTGTTATTAGAAAAATGAACTAAGAAAAGCGTTGACAATTTGCCTTTAATAGGCTTTCATGGACACACAGCACTATATATACATTTGTAGGCAAACTTCCCGTCATAAAGTTTTTGTAAACAAAATATACCTAAAGTTCATTTAGACAAACTTATTTTTTTTTCTATTATTCCATTATTAATGTGTATCTATTTTGTATATGTATATTTAGGATTTCGTCTGAATAAAGTATAATCATTCAATCAGATTTAAAGCAAAATATTATTTTACCATACAACAAAATACAAACCATTAAGGCATATTCCATCTTCTTCCACATGTTTCGCATTACAGGAACACGTGCCGGCTGCAGAACATCCAGAATTTGTCGTTGTACAAACAGTAGATCCGCTCCCTGAGACACACGATGTACCAAGAACTAAATTGGTGAAAATAATCATTACAATGAAAACTGACGTTTATTTCAAGGTAAAACAATTTTCCATTAAAATGTGCTGAGACAATATCAAATTTTTTCCTCTATTTTGTAAGGTCTAATATAAATGTTATTTGCATACATTTTTTATATTAAGCATTTATCAAATAATATAAGTTGAAATGAACCAAACTAATTTTATTACACTGGTTTGATGTGAATTAAGAATATATTTTAATATCAGATTAATAGATTAATTCTAACTGATGATGAATAAGACGTAAGACATAGTAAAATATATAAAATGATTTTTTTATTTCAAAAGACATATAAGCCGCGCAATGACAAAACAAACGTGCTGCGTCTGCGACCAGCATGGATCCAGACCAGCCTGCGCACCCGCACAGTCTGATCAGGATCCATGCTGTTCGCTTACAAACCCTATAACGAGAAGAGAAACTGATAGCGAACAACATGGAACCTGATCAGACTGCACGGAGGCACAGGCTGGTCTAGATCCATGCTGGTCGCAAACCCACTATGTTGGTTTTGTCATGACGCGGCTCAAATATTAATAAGGAAGAAGTTTTATGAAGTACAAAATACAATTTCCCTCCTCGTAATATCATGATATATTATTCGATTGTTACTTCATAATTAACCTTTCAAACACTGGTCATCCTTGTTCTTGTAACCTGTTTTACATGCACATTTTGTAGAAGTACATACAGAGTGTTTCAGTGTGCACACAGTTGATGCAGTAGAGCTCGAGCATGTTTTGCCAATAACTGAAAAAATGAAACCCGGTGTCAATGATTTTATTGATTCTATAAATAGCAAAATGGATGGGATTTGAATATGATAACAGTTACTATTCAAACCAATTTTCTTTTTTGTCATGTAAAACTCATAGAAAATGTTTCTTTTATCATTTTATTTCTTGATTTAAAGGCACAGCATATTTAAAATACGGGCTAATATGAGAAAGTTTGTTTTCCTTTGCATATAGGGGACATGTTCCCATATTTTGTCTCTTGTGAAATTTGAACAGTAGAGCTTCAGTCGTATTTGTTTTTGAACAACCCTCGTATGATAATTATGGTTAATGACTAACAAAATATATTTAAATAGAATCTACTGAGTTACCATTCAAAACACACGCTCCACTATCTGGTTTGTATCCACTCGCACATTTACATTTGTGTGAAGTTGTTGTATCGCATGTCAAGTGACTTGTGCTTGAACAATCAGTTGAACTAGTACAATTGTCACCCAATACTGAAATGTTATGTCAAATTGTATTTTAAGGAGTTAATTTTGTTATAAATTATTTGGATGTTTTAATGATTTTCTAAACAACACAGTTCATCTAATTCTTCAATACTTGCAAATGTTTAAGGTGACAACAGACACTTTCCGTGGTACTCAAATAAATGTCATTTAAATCAACTTATTTGAGTAATAATTATTATTTATTTAATCCTTGTGCATTTAATGTCGTTGATCATCATAAAAAATAACATATTTGTAAAAAATGCCTTTGTAAATGATTGATTTTTAATAAAAATCCTAAAATTTTAAATCGTCATATCAAAGTCATTTTTTATTTTTTTGTCATCAAACTGTTGGAAAATAAACATACTTATAATATCTGGGGAACCGTGTCTCAAATTTTTTCTATCTTTTCTCAAAAAATTATGATGTAACGTCAAACAATTTATACGACTTTTTTCACCATATATATTACTTTATTAAAGATAATTAAGTCGCTGATTGAGCAAACAAAAATCCCTGACAGGGTTCTCTCTGTAAATAAATTCCCTTTCATAGAGAAATAATCATCCTTAAACAATCTAAAATGGTTTAGAAATTTGTCAGGGACACCGTACCGCAAGTCATATAGACGTTCACATAAAAAAGTTGTCTGTTTTTGTTGTTGTTTTACTTGACATTGTTAGAAAACGAGGTTGAATGTTAAGCAAGCCATTGAATCCGTTCAAAAGTCCATAATCTCAATGTAATATCTATCAGATTAACGGGACAGATAAATTATTTTCACACATGGATATTTAAGCAACCATATTTTTAAACAACCCCATGGTCGTGCGATTTGCCGCTATGCTTAATTGTTTATGTTTTATACATTATGTTACGTACATTGGCCGACAATTTCTTATTTTATATAAAATGCTAAAAGGTAGACGATATTCATAAAAGATGTACGGTATTTGTACGATACATGAATTACGAGTAGTATGGACCAGTATGGACCGGTAATTCACGGATATATGGAACTACCGATTTCCCTCATTGATGCCTCAACAGGGGGCGGAGCGTTATCGATAATTGACAGGTTACGCGAATAGCAGATAAAAATGGTACAGGTACCGTTTAAAAACTTTTAAAAACACATTTTTTGGACTAACTGCTTCCAAAATTAAATCACGAATGTGTTCAGAAATGGTTGATAAATCTACTAAGCAAAAAATCTCATTTTAGTTTTTTTCAGTGATAATTGACTCTTACAATGTCAAGTAAAACAACAACAAAAACAGACAACATTTTTTTATGTGAACGCCTATATGACTTGTGGTAAGGTGTCCCTGACAAATTTCAAAACCATTTTAGATTGTATAAGGATGATTATTTTTCTATGAATCAATAAAAAAAGATATTAAAATATATTGTCAGTGAAAATAAATTGTTCGCTCGTAAATCGGACACAGTAGATCTACTAATAAACCTGGGACAAAGTATAAAAAATTATTGTCTATCCCGGTAGAAACTGGATCTCTATGCCGTGCATAGATGATATTCATGATAATAGAAGTCAAGAAGGCCAGATCATAATGATCGAGTAATACCTTTTATTTTTATTAAAATATGTGAAGCATTATCTATTTGGTGGAAAAAATATATAATATCCCGTTCTTATTTGTAGATCTACCATGGACTTTAAAAGACTGTCAGAAGCTCAGTTTTTGTTATCTTAATCTATATTTTAACGGAATTTCAGACACGAATACACAGGCAGAGTGACACTGGTATAATATAATAAAAATAATGCTGATGATAATAATAATAAACTTCAAAAAAGAAACAATTAAATACCCCGCTAGCTTTGCGCAAATGCGTTCCATTTCCCCCCACTGAGTGCCTCAAATTTTACCGATAGTCACGAGACATGTGCGACAGATACCAGACGGATAGTAAATCACGTTAAGAATTGAAGAAATTTCGGCTATAAACTGATATTAATAAGCAGCTTTTTAATTGGTCAGATGTCACTGGGTCATAAAATGTTGTTAGAGTATGTTACCGCAACTTGTGACCCTCTCTGGTGCGATATTTGTGTATTATGCAATTAATCAGCATGAAACGTAGGGGTCCGAGACAGAACAGCCGATTTATGACACTTCGTTTGATGCGGGTCGGACTAACTTTGAATCGGCATAACTTTTTTGATAATCAAGCAATTAACATGCAGTTTAAAGCACATGAAAGGAAATTCATTTACGGAGGGAACCGCGTCAGGGATTTTTGTTTGCTCAATCAGCGACTTAATTATCTTTAATTACGTAATATGTATGTTGAAAAAAGTCGCAGAAAATGTTTGACGTTACGTAATATTTTTTTGAGAAAAGATAGAAAAAATTTGAGACACCGTTCCCTATGAAATATTATAAGTATGGGTTTATTTTCCCAAAAGTTTGATGACAAAAAAATAAAAAATGTCTTTGATATGACGATTTAAAATTTTAGGATTTTTATTCAAAATCAATCATTTACAAGGCATTTTTTTTCAAATATGTTATTTTTTATGATGATCAACGACATTTAATGCACAAAGATTAAATAAATAACAATTATTACTAAAATAACTTGGTTTAAATGACATTTATGTAAGTACCACGGAAAGTGTCTGTTGTCGCTTTAATCCTACAAATAAAAATATTTATGAAATTTGAAGCATGATGTTGTTCTGTAAATTACATTATAGTCAGTGGTTACGAAATGTAAGCGAAATACATTAAATCATGTTTGATCTAAGTGTCCTGACGAAGAAGGTTTCAATATATTACCTTTTAAAATACATTTTTGCTGCACGGCTTTATATGAAGGTATACACTGACATGTTTTGTTGGTATCACAAGTTGAATTTGCAACACTCGAACAGTTGCCGGCCACTGTGCATTTTGAACCAAGAGCTGAAATTAACATTCTTAGAAATAAAATTTATTTATATCAGGGCCAAATATATCACACAAGGAAATATTTGTCAAAAATTAACATTAACAATAACCTTAATTTGTCAAGAAAATGTTTCGTTCACCACTTCTCGTTCCCTAATTAAGACTGGTTTCTTTTGTAAGAAGCTAATATTACATATTAAATAGTTGATAACCTGTCATGAATGAATTTCAATCTCAAGAACAAACCTAATTTTGAGGTGGTACATCCTGGAGGAAAATTACAAAAGCAATACCCAAATCATATATGTAGCACATATCTTTGACCTGACAACGGTGTGGAAATATTTATTTAATCTATCAAATGCCAAGTGTCAATAGTATTTATGCTCATATTAAATATCATATGCCTAAATAGTAGCATGTATGTACACGCATATAAATGTGAACACGCTGACAATTATCATGGTTGATAACACCTAAATACGTGATAAATAATACGTCATAGTTGAATTGCGCGCACGTAATGCTCAACAAGTATGCAAGTTATACTTATAAGTACACATGCTATAGTACAAGCATGCTAGCTTCTAGTTGAGATCGTAATAGCCCAATTCATGCTTTCTTTAAACGTGCGCAACAAACTTATGGAATACATATACCCGGTGACCAATCAAGGATACCTTACAACAATTTGACTCAAATGGCTATATGACTTCAAACGCCTTGATTTACCAGATTTAAATCATTACATCACTAAAAAATCATTTGATACAATTTGGTTACCAAAGTAATTTATTGTGATAAAGGTATTGCAGTGAACAATTTTGAATATCAGTTACCTCCTGCTGTAACTGCATCGCACTGATTAAAGTCCACAAAAACAACTATAACACAAACCAGCAAACACAGATATGCATACTCCTATAAAATAAAAACACAAAATGATACACAAAATATTACATCTTACTTGTTTTTTCAAAGTAAGTTTTGCGTTATTGCTAAGTATGCAGAGCAGGATATTATTTATTAATTCTGAGTCATATATATATACGTTGTATTACGAGCACATTTTGTTACGTGATATTTTTGTAGAACAATTTACCAAAATCGGATCACCATCAGCGGTAAGGTTTTTCACATGCACGCAATAAAAATAAAACATTATCACAGCCTGTAGACATTTATGTATAACTTGTAATAACTGTTAAAAACGCAAACAAAATATTAGTCAAGAGTAAAGTAATTAATTGGAAAAAAATCTATACAAATATACATGTGTTTCAGGCTCATAATATTTTGGACATGTTTTTTCGAGCAGCAGGTTCTATGCTGCTTGACTTTAGCGTATTCAATTGTCTTTATTTTTATCAACTCAGATCGATAAATTTTTTAACAAAGCGTAGCCACTTTTCCAACAATAAACTTATATAATTTTAGAACCATGACATTAGAACTTTACCGAGAAGCAAGTAAAATAGAGATAAATAGAATCCCTTTGGCCAATTTGAAAATGCTGGAGGCTCGATTCTATTGTATCTGTTTAATAACATAACTAATTATTATTGTAAATATCATAAGAAGTATGTAGTAATATAATCACATTATTTAAAACTGTTTCTGATTTTACAAAAATTACAAAAGTTTAGATGTAAGATAACGTTAACGAACCTTTAACCTTTACAAACGTAAATATCGAGGCGCTCCAAACCGCTTGCAAAAGACGCACTGTATTTAAAGGGCTGTACGGCACTTAACATAATCCATTTAATCGCTTTGAAACGCTTATACGTGATAGAAGAGAAATATTCTATCGGGGACAAATGTTTAAAAGACAATTGACAGTCCTACTGTCTTGAATTGTCTGTTCATTTCATAAAAAGTCGAGGGGAAACAACGAAAACAAACAGATGTTTGTCTATTTCAAAATATATTTTCTCTAGAGTGTAGTGTTGTTCAATCCCACTTTTAAACACTTTTCAATTCAGCAGACAAAATTCAACTACTTTAATCATTTAATGTCTAAATATTATGCTTGTAAAATAAAAGGTGGTGTAAAATTTCGAATTGTTAGATAATTCTTAATATTGACAGAATAACAAAAAAGTAAAATAATTTGATGTTCCCGACATTTATTTATCACTAACATTTTATAAAGTAATATCAATCGACGAAAGGAAGATGTAGCTATTGCTTATAAAATAGTTTATTAATTAAGAAATTAGATTTTTCTAATGATGTGATCCAGTTTTTTTTATATAATTCCATGATAATTGTATTAATCATCTATTATATATCAGCTGCAACGGACAAGTTTACACAATAAAGAAGCTTTAACAATTTTTATTAGATATTTCAAACGAGGTAAATTGTGACATTTAATGAAAGTGGATTGTTGTTCAATGGACACATTTTCCATAATTTCAAATATTGATAAAAACCGTAGGAATTTGTCATTTAAAATATATAACAGCCCTTCCATTATTGACCAATTCACTTTAAATGCCTTCATTTTTAGAAATCCATTAAGGTAGAACACTCCTAATGGGTACTATAAGGAACTGTAAAATTGACAGCATAGGACAACATAGGACAGTTGAATGTCTTAAATGTCATCTGTATACAAAATTTAAACAAAATTTACCGTGTGGTTTATAAGTTATGGACATTTTTTGAACTTATACTTTGCCATTAGAAGGGCTTTTTTCATTAATGAGGAAACTTTAAATTATCTATAATATTATCATAATGAAAAATGTTTTCTTCATTGTTTTGCTCATTGTTAAGAAACAAATAGTGACATTTAGGTAACAAATTAAACAAGCAAATTGATTGTTTTTAAACAAAATGTTTTTAATATGTATAAAATTGTAACATTACCCAACCCACTTTTAACTCTTATTTGACCAAAAGCCTCATTACAAATATCCCTTAAATGTTCCACAATAAGTGGCTTTTTTTTAAAGTTTGCCTATTTTTTTTTAAATATATATTGGTTGGTCTTGCAAAATATAAAATACTTTTCCCGTGAAGTTTTTATTTTATTAAACTTTGAAAATATCTGGTATCATGTTTGCTATTAAATTTGGCATTATTTAGTAAATAAATACCTACAATAATTATTTAATTAAAATGAAACACTTTTTTCTTCCATTAGGGATATGAGAGATTAACAAAAAATAATAAAAAGAAAAATAAAGTTGCCCATTTTGGGGTTTGAACCTACGCCCTTCAGTTTCAAAACACTTTACAGTGATTGTAGCCTATTTGAATACTCTTCAAAGTGCATTAGGGGTGTACTACATTAATAAACTTCGAAAATTTACTTGAAATAGTCACAATCTCTAATCATCTATTCTAGAGGAAATGGACATATAGATCAATTAAAACACTTCTACTGAACCTTATAGCTGATGTCAGCCATGCTAGAACTTGATATGCTAGTACCTTGAAATCAACCTTGATATTTGCTAATGGTATTAAGGAACTTCTAGATAACTTAAAGATAGCAGCATTCCTAACCCCTATATTGAAATAGAAATAACAGAATTGTCAATTATGCAAAATAAATTCTTACCATGATTGTTGTTCAGTGTGTAAAATTCAATCCGCCGTCCGTCTTTCAATGGACGCTGAAATTCAGCTAGAATTTATTTATATGATTTTCTTATCTTTTTAGCCACGTGACATGTCCGTCAGTTAGCAACCGACCTTCTATTTACGATAAACTCATTTGTCTGTACCTTTTTAAGCAAGGTTGCATTTTGTACTTAATCAATGCTCTCTTTTTTGTAATAAATTGTCTGATTTTGAAATAAAGGTCATAGGTGTAAAATATTTAAGCCTTACAAAAAAGTAAAACACTCGTATGATAACCAGCGTAAACACTTCGAAAATTCAAACTACCTCTTCCTGATTTAAAAAAAAAATGGTTGTTAGTGAACGGTATTCTTGTGTGTTATGTTACCAAACATGTATCAACAAATCATATTTAGTTGAACGTTGCATATGAAAACATCATCAAACTACATTTCATATGATATCACTTCCTACGATAAACCAATGAATAATGATTTTGTGGTAATTAGATTTATTACGCCAATAGTCTTCTGCAGATTGATATGAAATTGCCATTTTACATGTTATATTTATAAATTAAAAGACATCATTTTCAAGTTTTGCATATAACACATATCAACAATGGGTCTATTTTTTGGCACTTTACAATACATACGTATTGACATTTTATTCTTTGTTGCGATATGTAAATCATTTTATAATAGAGACCTTTCTATTGAAAATGTGTCAGAGTTGAATCGTATACCTGCATGCACAAAGCGTTATCTGGAGTGCAGGTACTTGCAGTACATTTACCAGGGCATACTACATTTTGTCAAGGGATTACTTTTTAGAAAGACGGGGCAAAGGGATCATGATATTCAGATGCTCGTACTTGGTAACATCGGTTCTGGGGTTCCATATTTTGACGACAGATAAAGTATTTCTATTTTTGCCTATGATAAAAAAGAAAGAAAATCAAAATACTCGACAATTTAATTTAAACTCACCCCCCCCCCCTCTCGTACAAATCAGATAGCCTTTTGTTTCGATGCTTTAATTTAACGCACACGCCTATCGAAGCCTTTATACGCCGAATATAGTTAGGTATTTTTATACTATAGCGCTGTACGAACGCTCATTCTCTCCCATTATATGGTAAAAAGGAATTTCTTAAAGTGTTGTACAGTTTTAAACAACGTCATTTATTTTGCTACACAAACTTTTTACATCACATACAAAACCTCCAATAAACAATTAAGCGTATAAATCTGAATATTAATGCGACAAAAAAGAAAAACAATTAACTTGAGATGAAGTGCTTTTTAACAATTCGTACCAAAATTTCTGCTTAGAAAATTCTAATATTGCCTGCACCACCTTTGTTTCCTTTAATTTATATTTTTTATATATATTCATTTTGCATGTGACATTGTTTGAACAAGGGTTTTCTCAGATACAATTTCGAATCAATATCTGTTTCAACGGTGTTTATTGGCTATTTCATATCAGCACATTATGATGCAAAAAAATAAAATTGGCTTTCGCGGTCAATTCCTACGCATCAAGTACAAAGCCAATAAACATCGTTGAAATCGATATTATTTCGATTCTAACAGGACACGAAAGGGAGATCACAAACGCTTTTTATTCAAGCGGATTTTACTTCCGCTGCCGGTTTTCATATAACACTGTTCTTTTTCGCACCGACTTTCACTAAGGCATATACAACATTATCAATATAATTTGGTTGTGATTGTAGCCTTAAAAAGGCTTTGTAAATAATCTTAGCTAAGGGGAACCCCCCCCCCCCCAAAAAAAAAAATAAAATTAAAAACAGCTGCATATATATATGTACTTCATAATAAGCAGTGTTTATTAGCAATTTAACACCGGCTTTATCTTTTTTGTGTATAATAACACAATAACGAAGAGAGTTTGAATGATAAATAACACAATAATTATCTTGTTGACGTAGGAGTGTATTTTATTTATATTTTTTTAAAATTCACTTGGTTACATCAATGAGCAATTAAAAAATTATGAATGTGTAAATCATTTTTGTACTCGCACTTACAGTATAATAATTATGAAACAAGCAATCAAATTATTTTTCATTAAAAGTTTCTCATAGTTCATTAATATCATTAAACTGAAATTCGCAAATAAAACCAGTTTACTATCTAGTTCTAAATAATGAACACAACCTTAGTACAAAGGAGAAACAAAATTAATACTTATCAATTGTATTAAATAACCTTTTTTCTAATCAATTTCAGTAAATCTTTGTTATTTAGATTTAAAACATACTGTATGATAAACAAGATCAACAAGGAAAGGCGGCGTTCAATGAACGCAACCCCCATATGACCCAGCAACAAGAATCAATGGCAAGGAGCCCAGGCGGACCCCAAACAAAAACAGGACAGGGCAAAGACAGAGCACGGACAGGTTAATCATTAAATGATAAATAATTTGTAACTCATTAGGAATTTAAAGAAAATAATAATAGGCCCACAAAGGGGAAGGGGACAGGAGACCGGGGGAAGGGGGGGGGGGGTAATCAAAGAAATAAAAACTAGAGGCAAAGGGGAAGATACTTACCGTAGACGAGAAAACAACAAGGGACACAAGCAAAAGTGTCATGCTGCCTTTTAGAAAGGCATTTTGTAGATAAATATTTTCACAAACCTTTACATATTAAGTCAACATCTTCAAAGTGTACATGAAACATACAATACACATGACATATCAATACATTTTGACATACTCACATCCATAATAATTGTACACATAAATTTCTACTTTTTCTTATCATATAGATTTATTTCACTGTTTTTGTTGTGTTTGTTTTACTTCTTCTTTTCTATATTTGAACATGCACGAATTATCGTATTTTATTTTTTTCTGAAGTGTGATAAAGTTTGAAACATCGTCATTTATTTTGTTACACAAACATTTTAAATCACAAACAAATCCTTCAATAAACAGTTAAGCGTATAATTTTGAATATTAATGCGACAAAAAAGATAAACTAACTTGAGGAGAAGTGCTTTTGCAGCGTTTTGTATGGAAACACTTCAGTTTTGACTCCGTGGAGGCATGCAATATCTGATTATTGCGATTTACAACTCTTTGTTTGAACCAAGCGTTTGCTCATTAAGTGTCAGATAAATATTCCGTCAATACCACAGTAACTGTCTCGCTGGCATATGGGGGGATTTTAATCTTAGCCAAGTAATCGCTTTATTAAATGAACAATAGAAATGGAAACGTGTATTTCATTTTAGCTATACTTGACCAGCACGTCAATAGTTTCAAGAATACTGAAACAAACAACCTGCTTCACATTAAGTCACTGGTGATTCACAATATCATTTTACTAAAATTCGCTAAGATATAGAGGATTGAAAAACCTTAAAGAAGGTCCAAAAAGGCAAAATTGATAATGTTGCAGTATAGGTTTCATTGAGCCTGTCCATTAACAAGCACATATTGACGGTCGTAGTAAATTTCTGTACTTATGTCAGGGCTGAGGAATTCAACTACAGTTATAATGCTTTTTGTTGGTAATATTACTTTGCTGATACAATAAATTGCTATAAAAATATGCCATATGTTAGACTTGTAAGGCTAGAATAATAATATCTGTCATATGTTGCGGTTCGGACCGGAATATCCGTCCCGAGGTGACCCGCCCATTGGGCGGTAACGAGGCTTGCCGAGTTACCGCCCATGGGCGGGTTACCGAGGGACGGATATTCCGATCCGAACCGCAAACATATGTCAGATATTTTTTCTTGCATATTCTACAATATTCCATAATATTTTAAATTATTTATCTTTATTTTCAATGGATATTTATATCATTATAGCGGTAACTATTTTCTTACAACAGCGTATGAAATTGCAACTTCATTCATAACGGTAAAATGACGTCATTCTAAAGCGTGCCATTGTACAGCACGCGACTCATCTGGCACCCCCCATGCCAGATGAAATTTCCGGCATGGGTAAAACACACGGAAAGGCCAGTCTGCTATGCAAGAAACACAATTCTTTCATGTTAAAATGGTATTTTGATGAAGTAAAATTAAAGTTTTGTACAATATCATTTAATCATTGTATCTAGAAACATTATTGACGATGTTCTTATTATCAATTGTTACGTATTAAATAACGTTGCGCTTCCACAATTACCTTTCTCAAACTCAGATGTTACTTATTTAGATCCAAGAAATACTATCAAAACTGTTTTGCCACGTATATGCAATTTAAATAAAACAATTTTAAATAAGTATTTGTTTCCGTCACCATCAGGTTGTTCTGATGCCCAATTAATTTTTTTAAAGGGACAATATTCTAAGTTTATTACACATTTAGCAGGATATACCTATTTTATTTTTTTAACATTTGCAAAAATCTAAAATATTAAAAACGATGAACCTACATTTTTTTCCTCAAAGAAAACTCATTTAATAAGATATTTGCAAATCTTAGATAAAGAACGAACATTTTTATCACTAAATTGCAATACGTTGCAAGATTAGTTGTTTTATCGAAAAAAAAATTGTATCTGTAAATTCATACGTAGTGAATTAATACCTTATTTCACCAACTTTATGAAGATAAAACAGACCAGTTTAGAAACCGATAACAAAGAAAAAATGACAACTGTTCCCTTTGACAAATGTTACTTTCTGATGGAAAAATACCATACAAGTGTTCTTTACTTATAAAACAGAAATATTTTCAAAATATTACTTGCGAACAGGTGTGAAGTATGTTGCAACAGACAAATTGGTTTTCATTAAGATACGATGACGGTGTTTTTTCTTCTTAAAAATGTTTTGAAGTTGAATAAAGAATTTCTTAAATAGCGCAAAATCTTTGCTACAAACGATTTTTAATGTCATTTATTATATTCTGTCTATTTTTTTTACCAGTATTATTCAAAATAATCTTTTTCATCTGAGTTTTTATGCATAGATGATTGGTGATACGATATATATAAAAAGAAATGAAAACTTCGTAGGACATGAAAAGGCTGCCCGACATTTCCCCTGCTTAAAACATGCCTTTCTCTTGATCAAAAGCAAAATTACCCCATACAAAAGAAGACCACCATACAACATGAG